GGGGGGGGGGGGGGGGGGGGGGGGGGGGGGGGGGGGGGGTCCTTTTACACAAAGATTCCAAAAGGTTTTTCTTTTAGCTCCTATAAATACCCTTTGACACCCTCATTGTAATTGTCATCTAAGTATCAACCCAAACAAAAAAAAACACACATCAAATATTCATAATTTCCTCCATATATTTTCCTTTCCTTAATTTTTCCTCTATTAGCTTGCAACTCTCTCCACTTTTGGATATTGTGGTTTTTGCCTAAGGTAACTTTTGATTTCATTTTCTTGAAATTTTAGTAAGGGATAGCTAAACATAGTTTATAATAAAAGGTTGAAATTTTATTTTTTGTAAGTTTGTTGTATTTGTGGCTGATTTTTCTTCTTCTTCTTCTTAATTTTCAGAGGGAAAATCAATATTTAGCATTTGATATTCTTCAAGATGTCAACATATTGTGTAAGCTTGATCAAGAATTCCAACTTGTTTTTAAAGATAAAAGAAGAAAAAGAGGCAATGGTGTCAATTCTTGAAAATGTTGATTCCACTTTTTCAAAAGGAGAAAAAGATCATCATGAGCAAGTGATCAAAGATCAACCAATTAAAATATTTGATTGGAGTTCAATTTTATCTCCTTCAAAGAATGAAGATTCATCTAATAAGCTAATTCCAACTAATCCTTATGTCCATCCTCTTGACAAAAGATCAACAAATTCTTTGAGTGAAAAAAGTCTTGAAATTTGTACTGAGAGTCTTGGATCAGAGACTGGCTCTGGCTCTGATTGCTTTCCCTCTTCACCTACTTCTGAGCACGAAGGCTCAGATGATGACAAAGACAATCATCATCATTACCACCATCACCATCAACAACAATATTTTGTTGTCTCAGAATCCTCTGAGGATTTTCATGTTTATAATCATAGCAAGAGATTGATATCTTCTTGTAGATCCTTTCCTCCTTCTCTTCCTTCTGTTCACATGCAATCACATAGACAAAATGGTAGATTGATTCTAGAAGCGGCTTCTGTTTCACCTAACAATAGTCTCCATACCCAACGCCTTGACGGCCACCTTCTTCTCACCCTCATCAATCAAAATAATTCCGAACTAGAAATAGACAAATCATGTGAGGATGAAGTTGAAGAGTTTGAGCAAGTATTTGGCGATATTCAAGAAGTTGAAGGTAATGAAATACCCCACTCAGATAGTGGTGGTGATGAAGAAGAAGAATCTGAAGAAGAGGAAGAGGATGAGGGCTCTATGATGGAACAAAGTCCAAGATTGTCAAGTGAGGTGACAAATGTCAACAAAGCTTCCATGATGATCCTAGAGAAAAAGAATCAACTAACATGGTCTAAATATACTGTCAGTTTCAACATGACATCTGGTTATTTCGATTTCAACAGTAGATTCAACAACTCAGTAAACTTGTTGACACAAGAGGAGAGGAATACTAATAACCTTAGAGAATGTTACACTTATCCTTCATCCATTTCACAGTCACTTCCTCAATCACCATCACCATCACCGGCGGCTACAACCTCATTAAATGCCTATGAATACTTTTGGAGGAAGAAACCAACAATGGCAAACATTGTCAATAATTCCACTATTACCAAGTACTACTACTACAACAATAAGCAAGTTGGTGTAGTAACAACAACTAATGGTATTGATACCACAACCACAAGTACTGCAAAGATATCAACATGTACACAAGACTTGGTGCTAATTAAAGAGAATAAGGCATCAATTATGAACAACAATTTGGGGCCTCTATTGAGAAGTTGCAAAGAGCCAAGGAGATCTCTAATAATTTGGGAGCCTTATTGCATTCCCACCTCCTAATGGTGATCATCATTAATCTAAATTATTAATCAAATTATATGATAAATGAATATGTAGTTAGTCATTTGCACATATGATTTTCCTCTCTTAGTTTTTACTCTTTTTGTCAAAAAAAGAGTTTTGTATAGCCAAATAAAAAGAAGAGAGAGATCAAAAGAAAGATTTTAATGGAGGTCAATACAATCATTTCATCTTATTTATGAGCCTTTTAATTATTGTTCTGTATTTCAATTTATGTGATTTATTTTTCTTTTTAATACGTTTTAAAAAGAGAAAAGGGTCTGAAAAATACTTCAACTTTGGCCGAAATTGCTGTTATGATACCAAACTTTACGGAGGACCTTTTACCCTGCACTATTTAATAGAGTATTTTAAAGGTATATATGTGCCCACGTGGACACATAACTATTTAAAATGATGCAATATTTATGATGTTCACATAGACACATATATTCCTTTAAAATACACTATTAAATAGTGTAGGGGGTAAAAGGTCATTTCCAAAGTTTGGTATCGTAATAACAATTTCGACCAAAGTTAAAATATTTTTCAGACCCTTTTCCCTTTTAAAAAAAGAATATCACGTAGCTTTCTATATATATAATAATAATAATAATAATAATAATAATAGTAATAATAATAATAATAACTCTTTAATTTCAATATCTACCTGACATGTTTTATAATCCCAACAAAATTCGTAAAACACTTTGATACTTTATGCTAGTACTTAAAAGGAGGATTTTCGACATCAGAAATATTGAATTTATGATGGAAAGTATATCTGAAATTGATGCTATAAACGAACTAATTTCTCTAACGGTCTCCCTTGGACATTTCCACCAAAAATTAGCTAGTTTTAGTAGTATACCATCTCTAATTTAAAATCACAAGATTCATTTTTTAAAACAATAAAAAATAAAATTTATGCTCAATTAAAATATAAACTAAAAAAATATAAAATAAAAATGGAGGAAGTATCTTTTCTTCTATTGAGTTGATGATGATGTTACTAAAGCTAGTGTATAGTTAGGCAGACAAATCTTATTAGCCAACTTTATCTATTGTGTCATGTCTGTCCCAGCATCAATTGGACAATTGACACAAGATCAAAGTTGGCTAATAAGATTTATCTGCCTAAATCCCCCCCCCCCCAACCACCCACCCACCCAAAATCCCTCCAATGATATCTCAAATCTGCAAATCAATACAGGTGAGTAGAGGGAACACGTTTGTTCCTGCCAAGGCTGAGTGGCATTGCTTTATAGGTAGACAAGGGGATCTATGTTCCATTTTTGAGAAGTTTTTATGAACATATATGCATTAATATATGTAATCTTAAATAGGCGTTTGGATATTATTTGGTTGAAGTTTTTTTTTATACATAAAAAAACACTATTATCAATTGTCTCATTAAAAATACATACAATAATATTGTACATGAGATTTAGATAATTTAAAGCAAAATTTGAGTTATCTTTCAAAGGAGATCAATAATATACATTTGCATTATATACGCACGAAAAAAACTTGTCTTTTATCCTAGTTAATTTTTCGACGAACTAAATTCAATTGAAACCTTCAGGACCATATATAAAATGACTACTAATTTCATGTTCAATTCTTTATTTAATTTTCAACAACTAATTGTTGTTTAAATAATTTTTATTTACTTTGATGTTTGTAGTTAGACATATTTCAAAATTTATATGCCAAAATTTGATAATGTCATAAGTATTTAATTATTTATACTTGTTCCAGCCTATAATTATTGGAATCACATGCCCAAAGAATTAGCTGAAAATTATAGTGCTCAGAACCATATGCTCTTTATCCAAAAACCTCTATATATGGTCTCATTTGTTTCATTATGATTCTTTGTTAATGGAAAAAAAATAAATCATTTTCATATACTTGATCACACTTACAATATGTATTGTATTCACATATATTAAATGATGATTGAAGGTTCCTATTTAACGGACGGTGTTCACGAGAGCATCATATTTGTCAAAAGTCTCACCATCTAAACTCAGGTCAAATAGTAATGTTTCAAAACATAATTATTCAGTTTTTTTTTTTCAAAAATAAATATAGGTAATGGAACTCCCAAAAAGGAAAAATATATCTTGAAAACTTCAATTACAAGTCGGCCATATTTATGTTCTTTCCAAGAAAAGAATATTATATTTATATATTCAAAAGATAATTTAATTTTAAAATTTTTATTTTATTCTTAATCAGATGATTTATAGTCTTAACAATATCTAAGACTTTTTTTTATCACAAGTTTCAATGCTCATTATTTTTGGAAAAAAACTTTACATCAATATCTTATAAATTAGGACAAAAATAGATATATTTACAAAGTCATTTAATATTCACTATACTTCAAATTAATAAGACCTTTATTGTCAAACAAATCCACTAAGTAAGCATTTACACATGAATTATGAGATACAAACTATTATTATAAATTAAAGTTGAAAAATGACATTACAAAGTTAAAATTATGTTTAAACATGTATATTATTATTTTTTAAATCAAAATTGTAAGTGGTAAAATAAATTCAGTTGAAAAAATATCTCAAAAACTAACCAAAAGATTATTCTAATATATAAATTTTAACCAAAGTATGTTTTGAAAATATTTTTTTTCGAAAAAGTCAAATCAAATCAGATTTCTCAAATTCTTTAATTCATAATAAAATAGCTCATTTTACTCTTTAAGAGTAGGTAACATATTTTTTTTTGTCTTTGTCTCTACTGCATTCTATCTCATTATTTATCACATTATATTAACATGATTAAAAATTAAATCACTATCAATACCTTGATCTAGCCAATTATATATTTGTAAAACATAGAAAAATGAAATGTCCATAATGTATACATATCAAATGATGTATACCTATCAAATGAATAACTTTTTTGTTATGCTACTAATAATTGCTCTCGAAAAATAAAAATAAAAATAAAAATAAGAGGGGGAAATTAATTGTCTTGGTTAAAAGATGTACAATCACTACAACCAAAGGTACCATTGATATGCACTTATTGGTATCTTTCAAACCCTTTCCCCCCTACACTTTGGTGGCACCAGAATTATCGACAAAATTCTGAAAGAAGAAAAAAATGAGACGTCCCGGCGGCGGACATTCCGGCGGTGGACATTACGGTGGTGCTGATTCCGGCGCCGATGCTACGTACAGCTCCGGCCACCAAACGATGCAACATCAGCATCAACAGCAACAACAGCAGCAGATAAAGTCGGAACATCATCAACAATGGAGATGGGAACGAGAGAGCCCGAAATTACCCACAAATTCTATGTCTCCCAACATGTATCCTGAAGGTAATTTTCTCTCTAAGTCTTGACCTTTTCGCCTTTTTTTGTTGAATTTTCTAGTGTTTTTGTTTATTATTACTTGCTGTTTTGTAGATAAATTTATTAAAAGTTTCATTTTTCAGATACAATTTACAGATTTTCCCTGAAAATTAGGTTTTTTTTTTGGTTCTGTTTAGTTTCCTTTTGGTTGTGCTTGCTTACATTGCCGGTGCCAAGTCCGGATAGTAGTTAGTTACTAAGATCTGATTATGAGTTATTGAATGGTAAGATGAATAAAGTGTGTTTGCTTATGTGTTTGCTCAGTTTTAAAAAAAAAAGATGAATACAAATTTTCAATTGAAGGATGAAGGTTGTGATAGGCTGGTAGCTAGCGTAAACTTGCCAATTTATGATGAATCCAACATGTTTGGGATTGAGGATTAGCAATAGTAGTAGTAGTTGTTGTTGGTGTGGTAGTAGTAGTTTCTGTTTCTTTGCTAGGCAATATTTTGTTTTGGAAATAATAGTTGCAACAATTATGACCACAAAAGCTACTTTTTTCCCCATAATTGTGGTGTCTGGGCTAACTTGTGCACATCCTAATTAATTCCATGTGGTACCTGCTATTTCTTATCAATAGAAGTATCTTGTAACTGTGTCCACCAAGGCTCGTACAGATGGGAAGAAATGAGTGATGTTTTTGCCTCCTTTGGAATTTGAACTTGAAAGCTCATGGTTTTCAATCCACTTTATTGATCACTAGGCCACACCCGTAGGCCTGTTTTGTAGATAAATTTAATTAAAACTTCCATTTTTGTGGAAACCTTACTTCCTCTTGGCAAAAGATCCACAAAAGTGGGGCACCTATTCGAGATTAAGGTTTAGTTATTGTTTTAACACTTATATTAAGGTCTGTAATCTTCAGGAGCTTTTTTAAATTTGGTTAAAGATTTATGTGCTAGTTTGCAGATGAGTGTGAGATTTTGGAAACATTTTGTTTTAAAGGTCCAAATTTACCTTAAAAAGACTAGTTTTTGATATTGTAACTGAAGCAGTGTACTCATGGATCAATATAAGAATTTGTATGGGACTGCACCCATTACTTCTGGCAGCTCAACTCTAATAAAGCTTATGCAATGACCACTCTAGGCAGACATTTGAGATGCTTCGACTACAAGCCAATAACATGAATATAAGAGTTTAACATTTGTCAGACGTACCTTTATTTTTCAGTTGCATCAAGCATTTTAATTCATACAGTTGCAACAAAATACATAGGGTCTAATTTATAGAGGGACACTAAGACAATAAGAACCTTTGAAATAAAGGAATATGTAACTTCAACTAGAAAATGAAGATCAGTTCAAACTATCTGATAATTTTTTTCTTTTAAAATAATGGTGGTGTTGGGGCCATCTTGCGTAATTCGACTATTCAGTTGGTTACCTGCTACCTCTCATCAACGATACCGGAGTAACTTTGTCCACCAAGGCTTAAGCAGATGGGAAGAAATCAACTAGTGCCTATTATCTCTACTGAGATTTAAATCTGTCTGTAAGGTTTGCACACACTTTGACCACTAGGCGGTACCCTTGGGTGCTAGTTGAATTTTTATCTCCTAAGGAATTAGATTAGACAAAATCTAATTTAAAGCATGAAGTCAAAGTGCTCCTACTGCCTAGTTACCCTTGTCTCAAAAAAAAAAGTGCTCCTACTGCCTAAAAGTCAAAGTGTACAAATTGAATTACAACGGAAGGGAACAATTGAATTCCTCTTATTAGACAATCTGTGGCATCCATAGCTACAGTTCCTACTTGATTATTGGTTAAG